TCTCATACCCACTGCATGCAATCCGCTAGGTATTTTGCTCAAGGGTACACGTGAGATTCAACATCACATGAAAATATTTTCATAATCCTTAATTTCATTATCAGTATCCAGTGGTTTGTTGAGCATTCTGAATTAATTTTTAAAGAATAACTTTCTGTTTGTTTGAAGATGGAGTTTTGCTCTTGTCAGCCAGGCTGGAATGCAATGGCACCATTTTGGCTCACTACAAACTCCGCCTCTGGGTTCAACTGATTCTTCTGCCTTAGCCTCCCAAGTAGCTAGGATTACAGGCACTCACCACCATGCCTGGCTAACTTGTATATTTTTAACAGAGATGGGGTTTCACCATGTTGGGTAGGCTCATCTCAAACACCTGACCTCAGGTGACCCACCCACTTTGGCCTCTGAAAGTGCTGGGATTGCAGGCCTGACCCACCGCACCTAGCAAAGAATAACATTTTATCATCATCATTGGCCATTTGGAAAACGCTCATTTCACCGAGTTCACAAAGGCTTTCTAAACAAAAATCTGACTTTTACTTGATAAAATAAGAATGAAGATGGCAAATTACATCTTCGAATATTTAAAACAGTTGCAATCATATAGGTCCACTAAGAATCTGAAGGACCTTCAAAGGACACAGGACTGCATTTTGAGAATGTCTTATTTACTCTGCATCTTCCCACTGGACAAGGAAAGGAACCTTTCTTTCGCTACCTCTGATGAATTCCAAATTTCTACAGTAGCATTTACTATGTGGGATATAAAAAGAATGAGAGATTTAATAAGCAGGCAAAAATAGCAATGACATTTACAGGAAACTTTGACAATCCTTTTACAAACCAACTTCAGTTTCAACATTAGCAGTGACCCCAACAGAAACAAAAGGATTGAAGATTTAAGAAAAACTACCAGGTTTATGAAAAAAAGACAAATGAAGTATTCAATAAATGGTGAACGACAAACTAGTGACAAAAGAGCTAAACGACAGTGGCAAGAAGACCTGGGCCATTAAGATGCAAAATAAGAGAGAGAGAGAGGAGAGAAGTGAGATAAACTCTAACCCTGCCCTACTCACCGAGACATCCCAGGGTCGGAAGAGCAGTTGTCTGTTCAGATTGGATTTCTCAATGGTGCCCATGTCTGCAACAGTTATTTTGCCACCCTCCCCACAGCCTAGCCCAATCATGGCAAAATTCTTGAGAAGCTCACAGCCAATGGCCCCAGCACCCACCTGAAAGATAGCAAACAAGAGACACCTCACCAGGGTGACTAAGGACAATGCAGAGTCACCCACCACTCCACACTCTCCCTGAATATAGCAAGAGAAGACCAGAGGGCCTACTGCCACCCA